GAGAGGGGCAGCCGGACGCCTGGGTTCCGTGCCCCGCGTGGGGGAGAGGGGCAGCCGGACGCCTGGGTTCCGTGCCCCGCGTGGGGAGAGGGGCAGCCGGACGCCTGGGTTCCGTGCCCCGCGTGGGGAGAGGGGTAGCCGGACGCCTGGGTTCCGTGCCCCGCGTGTGGGGGGTTGCCTGTCCCTGGTTCTGCTCAGGGCAGTGATCGCTGTGGGCGGGCAGGGGAGGGGGGTTGTGTCTCGGCTGGTGAATTGAGCAACATAGTTCCCGAGGCTGTGAGTGTTCCCAGCGCTTTGTGCTCCCACACTGAGGGCTCCTCCGACACTGACATCTGCAAACCCAGGGGGAAGGGGAGTGTTGTTCTCCCCACTGCCCAGCCTAGGAGGCTGAGGCAGGGGTGTGAAGTGACTTGCCCAATCTATCGCCGCTAGAAGGGGACGCTTCAGACAGGAACTGGTCTCCGCTGAGAGGCTTCCCATTGCTGACAATAGGCAGTGGGAGTGGGTGCAGCTGCAGTGTCACTGGAAACAATTCCAGATTCAGCCTTCTCAGAAGCCCTCCTGAAACCTTGCTCCCAAGGATGCGACTAAAATACTGTGCTTTCAGAGGACTGCTGAGATACCAGCAGGATGATGTGTTCAGAGAAGAGTTACAGACATCCCTTGGGTCTTCCTAGCTTTGGCTTTGTTTCCATTCTGGCAAATGAAGGGGTGAATGGCTTCTTTTGAGGAGATATTAAAGCTTTTTCCCACTTAAATTGCCAGTTTAGCAGCCATAGCTTTGAAGTGGTAGTAGCTATTTATTTTCTTTCTTTAAAGACACTTGCCATTTGAGAAGCGGCTTAGAAATTGACTTCTTGAACTTGAAAAGCAAATAGAAACCGCATAGCACAAAAATAAAGGGGAAATGGTTTTAAAGGAACAAACATTTCAGATCGTTCAAATCACAGAAATAGGTTTGATACCAGTATTTTGGCTTTGGGGTTAACAGAGCAGTAAAATGTGGACTTATGTGTTTTTGTTTCTGTATGTTTTAGACCAGGGAATTTTCCTGGTTTAGGGCTTCCTAATTCCTCTGTTGCTCTTCTTCACTAGGGAGATCCAGGATGAAGAACTGAGAAAGTTTAGTTCCCGAATCACAAGCCTTCTCCAGAATCATGACCTGGGAAATGATACCATTGACTGTTTGCAGAGACTTTTCCTTATTGTTTCAGCCACAAAATATGGCCGGAAGTGAGTGAGAGGACATGTTAAGCCCTATTAGGCAGTCACTGTAACAGGGTATTGTCAAGAATGTGTTTCAGCATTCTATAGATCAGTACTACTACAGATCTGCCCTACTTCCTTTGTGGATTGCATTTGCAGGGACCAAAAATAGTTAATAGCTTTTTTGTATTTTAATGTATCTACCAATATGTCATTGTACCCAGGGGTGAGTGCTATGCTCTTTTAAATCTATTACTGCCTGTTATATAATAACATCTGTATTTCTGCACCTTAACCATGAAAAGTAAATCTTGTGAAGATGGAATTTGTGTGTGCGTTTGGTTGTGGTTTTTTTGTCTTCTGTTTCTGTAACAGAAAATATTTTTTTAGCATCCTTTTCAGTGTGCTAATCCCAGTGGCTGTGTTTCTATTAGAATATAAAATGTTGAAATTGAAGCTTGTGCTTCTCCAGTACACAGGAGATGCAAAGCATTCTGTTCTTGACAGATCAGAAATGAAGGCTGGGTGACTGCAAAAAATTCCCTTTACTGAAAACGCTGTGCTAGGTGCAGATGTTGAAATCCAGTCCACTCTCTTGCCCCTTGCAAACTAGAGATCCCGTCCAGCTCCTTTTAAAGTAAGTGGAAAAAATTCCCTCTGACTTCGTTAAGAATTGGATCAGGCCTTATTAAAGGAGTGAAATTCAGAGATACTCAGACTGAAGAGGTTGAGTAATATGAGATTACTTAGGGCCAGCCTCAAAGAAGACACTATATCAAGACTGTCAAATAGGAATATAAGTAAACGTTCTTATCCTCTTGTTTTCTTTCAGTGATGCCTGAATGACTGGTTTTTGTTTATTTTATTTTATTTTATTTTTATTTTTTTTGTAGGTTGGATGGCAAATTTGTAGAGCTGTTGCAGAAAGTACTGTGTCTGCCCAAGTGTCCTGAGCAGATTCAGGCTCTATGTGCTGCCATCTTGAGAGAGATGTCACCCAGCAATGATCTGATCCTATCCTGCGATGAAATCCAGGATGCAAAGCTCTTGAGTCTAGTGTCCTCCATCCTCTTGGCTCAGGTAGATGGACTGTGCTGTCAGGAATCTTGTCTAGACTTCATCACCCCTTCACTTAACTCAAGGGGAGTAAAATGTACTTACATGTGTATAAATAAGAACAGAAGGAACGTCAGGTAAATTAAGAATAGATTATGCCTTGTTTGGAATCAAATGGTAAAGTTTTCTGTGTATTCAAGATTTGATAATGAGCCATTTAAAATCAACGTGTGCATAGCGTGAGGGGATGAGAGCAGTGGGCTCTGTGACTGGGGAGCGGGAAGGAACCTTTCAGTGCAAGCTCCTGTAATAGAGTTCAAGCTATTGCTGCTCATGCCTGCAAAGGAAAGGATTGAAAAGTGAATTTATTGTGGCTTCTAACCTCTTTATGGTGCTGGTTTTTCATAACATATAGAGGTCTACTTGGCCTAACTTTAAAGCCTGAGCCAAGCGCAGCTGATCCCAGCCCGACGTTAGAGTGTTGAGTCGTTGTCAGAATTGAACCAACCTGAACGTACACTTCCCCCGCAACCTGTGTAAATGCTGCCACTGCCTCGTCCTTGGGACTTGGCTTGATGGTGGCTGCCCGAGCCCACTATCCATCTCTCCTGCCCATGGTGGTGAGGGGTGATCGGTAGCAGTTGCATGCCATGCCCCTGCTGGCCATCCCCAACTTGCTGCGCTGTGTGTGCTGCAAAGTGAGAGGGCTGCAACTCCTTGGCCCGCTCGTTCCGCAGTGTGCACAGAGCGCAGCAAGGTGGTGGTGGCTGGCAGTAACATGGCACGCAGCTGCTGCTAACCCCAAGAGCAGGTAGAGGTGTCAGAGATGACCCAAGGGGGAGGGGAGGGTTGTTTTCACTTGTTGTCAGGTTCGGATCGTGTGCAAGGCTCTAATGTACCTTTACTAGGGAAAGAAACTTATTTATAAAGCAGAAAGCAGTGGCATAGTTAAAATGTAAAAATTCCAAAATCTAAAACTGGCCTCTCATCTGTGTCTTTACCCTTGAATTAGAAACCGAACCATAACACATTTTTGCTCTATTCTGATGTTGCTGAAGCTTTGATTTGGCAGATTTAGTGCTGCTACGGCAACTCATTACAGCAAGTGGCACTAATGAGCAATGTCCCACTTGATGTAATGAAAGCGGGAACTGTTCAGCAGAGCCCTTACAAAAAGACCCTCCTATCTTTCGTTCTTGCCTGTCAGTGTCTCCTTTAGATGAGTTTCTTCCTCTAACTGCAAGGAAATGAAGTGGAGGTGGGAAGTGAGTCACTCGTTCTATTTGCCTACCTGTCATTGCAGCTCTGTGAGTCCCGCGAACTTTGCCTGAGACATGTAGCTTTCCAGAGCTTGTAGCCTTACTGTTGCCTCAGAAAGAGGCAGCTGCAGCAACTTTCTTCCCTGGCTTCTCTGCCTCTTGCTCTTCTACTTTTGGGAGAGTAGACTGGCAGATGTAATTTTAGACACTGGACATTTCTAACAGGTGAAGAGCAGATCCTCTAAGTGGCATGTAAACTTGTTAAAAGCTGGAAATCTGCCATGGATCATCATTCATTCATGCTTCTCTCTAGAAAGCAGGCAGGGCTCCTGAAGGTGCATGTCAGCAGCATGACGACATGGTTCCTTCAGTTCCGTTTGTGTCACAGCTTTGTAACCCAGGCGGGATGGAGTGTCCTCGTACCATTTTCCTTTACTGTAATGATCCCGAAATCATAAGCCTCTTCTTTAATGTGTTTCTTTGGTCCATCTGTCCATGTGTGGGGGGGAGGCAGGGAGGGGAGGAGCGTGTATGTATTTGTATGTTAACAGCATTACTAGCCTTGAGTAGGGTTCCCAAGTGCATCTCCCTCACCTCTAGAAAGTTGTGTAGCTCAACACCAAATCCCTTGCTTTTTCCTGAGTAGGGCACACATCTGATAACTAGTGGACAAGGTGATGCCACAGGTTGGTGTTGATTTACATCTTTCTGATCAAGAGGATGAGGCAGCCAGCTGGGGAGACTGTCAGAGACTCTGAATACTCGAATGGGTTTCAGTTTCTCTAGCAGGATGGCTTTGGAGGAGGAAGAGAACCATTTTCTACCACTAGCGCAGCCTCTCCAAAGGTTTGGTATCTGCCTGTCATCCCAAAGGAGGAGGGATGACCCAGGTCCCCTGACAGTTCAGTCTAATTATGTATCTTAAACCACATCAAGACTGTCAAAACAGAGAGTGTTTTATTCTCCTTACAGGTGCCGGCTAACTAGGCATGTTGGAACATGTTTCATCAATCTGACTCAAAGCCACAAGCCTTGCGTTTAAAAATCATACTGGCAAATTCACCACTAGGGATTAGATGGAGTTGTTAGCTCTGTTGTTTGCCTCTCCATCCATGCTGGATGAATGTAGCATTGTATTTGAAGGGGGTAGGCTAAAGCCACTTTTGACAAATAAATTCAGCTTTAAATTGTGGCTGTCCACAAACTTGTTGCTTCAGCCGATGTTTTCTCCATTGGGAACTGTGGCTTCAGCGTGTAGAAGAGATCTGTGGACTATGGTAAAATAGATGCACTCAGCACCAGAGCAGAGAAGCTCTCATCTAAGCGTTTGTAAGGCTGAAATCATTAAAATCTCAGTTGCAAATGGTCATCTTGTTTTAATCTTTGCTTCATTTTAAGGGAAATAAAAAGGCTGAGGTGTTAGCAGTGGGGCAGCGTGTTGTAAAAGTCCTGGAAGGGCGACTGCCTGAGGGTCACAGTTCACGGCACCTTCTTCCTCTACTCTCCAAGATCATCAGTCTATCGCCAGCAAGCCTAACTGAAGGTAAATGCGAGAGGGTCCTAGAGACCCACAGAGAATGAACAGATCACAATCACGCAGCATGGTGATAAAGAGAAGGATCTTTGAAGGCTTAGACCCAAGAGTATGACTTGGGATACTTACAAATTGCCATTATAAATGGCACCTATATCCCAGGGAAGGTGAAACTCTGATCCATTGAGGATCATTATCTTCTTTGTTCGATGCTCTCGAGGGTGCTAGGCACCTCACGGGACAGAAAGACACGGGCTCTTTAGGCAGAGAGATCCTCGCTATATGTATGTGCCTAGCACTGGGGCCTCTGAGTGCGATTGCAATAGAAATATGTACCCTGAGGAGCTTGGGGTGGGGGCGGAAAGGTTTACATGGCTCCCCAGTTTGCGTCTCTCTATTTCGTGAATACAGAAGAACAGCCAGTTCACTTTTCATAGGCTTCCTGGTAAAGTGGTATTTGGAGTGGCAGAGAATTTGCAAGGTGGGGATGATGAAATTTGGGGGGAGGGGATGGCCTGATGAGTAGGCTTTGGGCGAGCACTCCAGTCATGGAGGGCTCGATGGAAAAAGGTGCAGAAATGCTCTTTTGAAAAGGAGATGCTGCACTGTGCTGCGACAAGGTTCAGGAATTTGCTCAGAGATTTGCGCTCCTTGGACAGAGACGGGGGGAGGCTGGAAGGAAGAGGCTGGAATGGAATATTTGCCTTTGCCTGGGATGCAGCACCACTTCCCTGGGCTTCTGCTACATTCAATAGGATAAAACTGTATGGGGGATATGCATTTTCATGCTACAGCCTCAGACTAATCACAACTCCCTGAATTAGGGAAAAAACATCCCCCACAGACAGGTTATTCCATTATTGTCCGTTACATCTCACCTTCTGATACTATCCATCTGATAGCTCTGTTGGAGACAGGACTTGGGAATAGATGTACCATTGGGCTGATCTGTATTAGGTGCCTGTGCTCACTTTCTGACTTCAGGCTGAAGAATTGTGCAGAACATTGATGAAATTAAATATAGCATTGAACAGGGGTAGAGGGAAAGGCCAGGGGGTGGGAATCGTATACGGAGCTGTGAACGGAATATAAAAGATGCTGGTCTCTGAGTTTGTGTAAAAGTAGAAGAACCGGAGTGTGTGTGTGTGTGTGTGTGTGTGTGTGTGTAGTAAAATCACCTACAGTAGTTTGACGTGGGGAATCTCTTTGTCTCTGAG